TAGATCGGATCAAAATTCATTGACACACAGTTTTATTGATGTTTATCATTATTGACATTCATCATTATTAATATTCATCATTATTAATATTCATCATTATTAATATTCATCATTATTAACATTCATCATTATTAATATTCATCATTATTAACATTCATCATTATTAACGTTCATCATTATTAATATTCATCATTATTAACATTCATCATTATTAACCTTCATCATTATTAATATTCATTATTAACATTCATCATTATTAATATTCATCATTATTATTATTCATCTTTATCTTAAGACTTAATATTCAAGCAACTGAGTGAAGAAATTTAGGCGGTATTCACAGTCGAAAGTTCTCTGTAAAACTATTGATGCAAATTTTCTTCAGTTGCTCACATTTTCTCGTTAAGAATGCAGTGTCTATAATAACTTGCAGATTAATATAAATTTAAATTTTCCCAATTGATATCTTCATCTTCAGTGTCTGTAGTTTCTCCCCGTGCTTCATTATCTTAATGCTTGAACAAACTTCGAATCTTACATTATCACTCATTCATTGTTGCATGCCCTCATGTTGTATGCACTCATGTTGTATGCACTCATGTTGTATGCACTCATGTTGTATGCACTCATGTTGTATGCACTCATGTTGTATGCACTCATGTNGTAGTAAATTAGTCTTTTCCCTATAATAGAATAACTGTAGAGTGGTGTAGCACCTGTCTCTTATACACATCTAGATGTGTATAAGAGACAGGCATTTTTTTCTATAAAGCGAAAATGCGCTAAAAAGAGATCGTGTCGTGACCTGGGAACGGGTGGCACACAATCTTTTCATTGTGCTTCCATTAATCATAACGGAATTGAAGATCCCACTCAATCAGCACAGTTAAAGTCCTCATACGATTCAACTTTGGCATCAGGTGACTAGGATTTTAGGTGAATAAAATGACTTTACTGGCCACGTGTGTATGAAACTCTAGCGAACCTGCATGACCACACTGCATCGAAAATAAAAATCTAGAACATGTCGCCGAGAGTATCACTTTTGATTTCATCAACCTGACATGCATTTATATGCACGCGACTTCATGTACAGTTTCCGCATTAAAGTATCATCTACTAGCTGGACATAGGGGTACAGGACTGTACCGCGTACAGTTAAATAAATTATATACGACTCCACATTAGCATGCGCCATCTCACGCGCCAGAGAGAGGAAGCACATGATCTTTGGTCAGGGCAGAAATTTCAGGACAAGTGCCTGGGACTTTTCTAAAACAAAACAAAAATCAGGGAACATAAGAAGATCTTATGTTCACTGGGCACAGCGTCGTAATGAAATGAACGACAAGCGTCAGGGAAGAAATGAACGACGTCGATGCCTGTGAACAGATCCATCATTAAATTTAATTTATGCATTGACGGTTCACTGGTAAATGTTTTACGTCATTGATGCGCGTTCAGTATTTGTTTCATATCACACCAAAAACGGACCATAAATTTACGGCAGCACGATTACTGTAGTTATATCTGAACGCAAGATAGACATTTTTCCGGTGAAACGAGATCACCGCGAAATTCCACTCTCGATCGCCAAGATCGCCGATACCGTTTCAACGCACGTGAACCGCACTCAATTTTTAATGGCTTTCAACAATGGGTATTATTAAACGCCATTGGGAATTATTTTTAATTAAATATTATCAACATCGGCGTTACTCAATTGAACTTATGAAATGCGAATTGTATCTGAATAGTTGCTCTGTCATCAACATTAAATAAATGACTCTGTGTGAGACGAATTAAATTATTATTCCATCATTTGAGTGTGCTAACTGAGGTCATCAATGTACAATGCAGGATCAGAAGACAATATAATTGAAAAAAAATCTTGACTTCGACAGCTTCAGGTACTTTTATGTAAAATTAGAGTACAAAAGGCACCGGTCATTGTTTATTAGTCTTTTATTAAACTCGGTTCTATCGGTTCTAAACGCTGAACAAGAATATTTTACTCCGCATCAGCTGCGCAACAAGCAAGTTCGGAAGCCTGGCCTGCGACGATCGAGACCGGAACCCACGAGTTTGGCTTCGAATTCATCCTGCCTGTTGAAACGCCCTCATCTTTCGAGAGCCCCCACGGCTACGTCAGGTACAAAGTCAAAGCCGTCGCCAAATTGTCTAAGGCATTTGACAAGAAAGCTGAAACGTATTTCTCCTTCTGCCAGCCTTATGACCTTAACCGGGACAGTGCTGCCAAGGTAACCCATTATTAGGAGTACACAATATTCTTAATATAACATTAATTAAGGATATATTATACCCATATCCTGAGTTTTTGTTGGTCTGAACTTCAAGTCCTTCAGTAACCTAGTGTCACTTGGTTCATTATCCTGTGACCAAAAGTCACTGATATGAGGTGAAATTTGGACAGACTTGTCCTGATTTCCAAAATGTTGACGTAATTCAGATGAATATATATCGCGGAATAGAAAGTAGGGTCAATAATGCCAGCATGTTGCTATAGGAATATTTAGAGGTGCGCGAGGAGCTGAGTTGGGGCATAAGGCCCCTGAAGCACGGGCCTGTCACGCTGGATCTGCAGAGCGCCAGCAAAGCGAGCGTCTGTGGGGCGCTGCTGCAGATCCAGGCCAGCGTCCGCAACGCCGGCCACTCCGACGTCACCGTTAAGGTGGCGATGAAGCAGGTGAGAGGGAATAAAGATCGGCAGCGCGAGGAAGTTTGTAAGTGAAGAGTAGAAATATAGGCAATAATAGAGGCAAGTAATTATAATGCTGCAGTTTATTGATGGAAGAAAATTTTACGAATGTAATAGAATGGCATTATTCAAAAAATATAACTCAGAACTCACTGCAGTGAGTGACAGAGAGCGCATTTTCTCGTTGACGAAAACGTGAAGTCACGGAGGGACAGACAGACGGACGGACA